TTCTCAACTGTTTCATACGTTGGTGCACGTCAGTGTACGTAAAAAGACCTAGGGCCGGTGCTGCAGCTGGTGTAAATCTTAATGACTCTATGGGTACGAAAAGTCTAATAGCAATTTACACCAGTCGTGGGGTTTTAATCCTATGACCTTGCTAATAAAGAGGTTTATAAAAGGGAAGATCCTAGTGTATAAGTGATGTTCCCCGCTAATGTTTTACTTCATGGCTATATGTTCACAAGGAACTTCATAATAACAGGCATGCCAGTGAGGTGATAGAGTTGAATTAAAAATGAGCCATAACGAATATTGTATTTTGCATTCCTTCACTTCCTTAATAGGGGGGATCGCAAAGCAATGCATCCACTTATAGTGAGTGAGTAATTGGGAAACTGGGAAAGACTGAGAGAAGAGGCTGGGTTTATACATTGGGTCTGAATTTCCAGAATTGGAAACATTCTCTGAGTTGGAATCTCTCTCTCTCTCTCTCTCTCACATGCGCGCTTCCCCCTCTCCCCCCTCACACACACACCAACCAACTGTGGAGGTGCACTAAGCACACTGCATGGAATAATTTCTAACAAATGCAAATGAGGTTCTCTAAACATGCAGAAGAACTTTCCATCTTACGACACATGCCAATGTTCCCATATTTGTTTTCACCCAGGATCAATGCCGAAGCTGGAAACAGCAAAAAACTCCCCATTTCAATTCAGAATGGAAAACTGAAAACTTCCATCCACATCAGCATTTTTCTAGTGGAAAACATCAATAGAGATGAAATCGTTTGTTCAGAAGAGATTTTGGTTGATGTCTTACGATGCCGGCTGACATTTGGACAGCGTCTAAGTAAATGGAGTCATTTACTCACCTTTGGAAATGAAGCTCGTGATATTCTTGTCACTGGAACCTGAATGGAAGATTCAGTGCTCTTGAAGTCACCTATCAGAGGGGTAGCCGTGTTAGTCTGAATCTGCCTAAAGAACAGGAAGTTCTGTGGCACCTTAAAGATTAACAGATTTATTGGAACATAAGCTTTTTTGGGCAATGACCCACTTCGTCAGATGCATGATGAAATGAGTCGTTTCCCACAAAAACGTATGCTCCAATAAATCTGTTACTCTATAAGGTGCCACGGGACTTCTCATTGTTTTTACGTGATCTAGATACTCCATTGAGAAGAGGGGAACATGAAAGAAATGAAAGCTGTGCACATTATGTAGAGAGGGGATTCCAAACAATTTCGCGTAAAGATGCCATCTTAAAATGAGTGGGCACCAGGTGCAGAGCATGGGCTGTGGTTGTCTCCTGGGAGTGGAGGAGAAGCGATCAGAGAGAGCCAAGCCTAATCCAACACACCCCTCAAACTACATTTGCCTTTAGATTGTGAGGACAATGAAGAAGGGTGTTAAGAGGAAAGAAGCAAGAAATAACACTCCCGGCACAAGAACAAGACCAAACACACTCATGGTTTGGTGGTAAACACATCTGGTGCTCCTCTCTCACGCTGGAGGGCACTATGGAAATCTGGGATCAGAACGATACCCGTGATAATTTACGGAAACACCTGCAAAATCAAGTTCTTGACCTGACCCATCATTGTTCAGTTAGTTGAATTCACAGAGATACATTTGGAGACTAACAGATCAATAGAAATACTACTAGATAGACCGCAAGATGCGGTGGACTAGATAGATAGATAGATAGAGGGGCGTATGTAAGTAGATAGGAAGACAGAGAAGTGTAGGTAGGTAGATAGGTAAGTAGAGGGGTATATATAACTAGATAGAGGGGTGTACATAGGTAAATACATCAATAAGATTAGATACTTAGGTTCTCTATGCATGTCTGGAAAATGTGAATGAAGACACTTGTGACGCTTTGCTCCAATTGCAGGACACTGATGGATTTCACTTGGTGAATGGGGGTTTGAGTCGTTCATCCGTATCCTACCTTGTGTGAGCAGAGGAGGGGTTTTATTGCACTCGTTGGCTTCTGGGACCGAGTCCCTAATGGCAAAGTCTCCTCATGTTCCTCGGAGGAGGAACAGCCCTGCCTGGAGCTGCAGCCAAACAAGATTCCCCAGGTCGGTCAGGTCAGGGGTAGTTGTCTCGTTATCGTGTGCACTTTGTAGATGAAAATCGCCCTGGGATTGACTCACTCTTGGAAATTCTTCTTATGTCTAGCAGGAGGGACGGTCTGTCCCAGACCAGGCAACACACCACACAGAGTCAGGGACAGGGGCAGTGACACCCCCTTTGGGTCCCACTCTTGTTCCAGAGCCATCATGAGACTCCAGGCGCTCTGACTCCCAGACTCACCTGCTCTAACCATTACACCCCACTGCCCTGCTAGAGCTGGGCACAGAAGCCAGGAGTCCTCAATCCCAGACCCCCTGCCCTGCCCACAGAGCCTATTTCCCTCCCCGAGCCCCACGGCTCAGAGTAGGCAGGGGATGGGTCCCTTTGGTTCCAGCAGGTTTGCAGCACGACCAGATGTAGGGTGAGCTCCCAGGGATGATAGAACAAACTGTGTGGGGAGACAGGGGCTGGGGGGGCAGGTGCATCAGGGGGTGGGGGGATGGCACAGCTGAGAGGTCTCATGCCTCTGTCCCACTGCCTTCATTGCTCCAGCAGGGCCGTATGGGGCTGGGTACCAGGTGTGGGGGCTTCCTCTTTAGTCAGTGCTGCTGGCCATGCCCCAGCCTGGCACCAGGGGGCACTGAGCGACAGGGTGGGCCAGGAGGGCGCTGTGGGATGGTCTCAGGTCGGGGGATCTAACAGGTAATACTGTAAGCTGCTCAGTGTAGCCAGTCTCAGGGGATGACTTGATATTGATTCCATAATACTTTGCCTTCTTGATTTCAGATGTTATTTGTGGCATCACTTTAGATCCCGATGTATCAATCACAGCATCGAGTTGTAGAAATTGTTGGGGGAGGGGCATGAAGGCCTGATCTTTTGTATGTGGTCTGGTTCTGGCTCTTACGAGTACATGGGTGTTCTAGGTGGGATGCTAGATGTGTTGCAGGATGACAGCTATCTTTGCAAGTGCTTTTAAAATAGATCTGTCTTCAAACTCTGAAGCCACGTATTAAAGTGCTACTCTGCTGCAACTACTTGTCGAATTGGTGTCAAACACAATGTGAAAGTTTCAAACAAGGAGAACTTTTATCTGTGCTTTTCAGGTCTCTGTTTCACTTGTATAGTGATCTTAGACATTCATTTAAAATACCCATCACCAACCACCTGGTGTTTAATTTCATGTTTGTGGCTTTATTTGCTTTCTGTGTTGGTTTGTTGCTGATTTTCACTCTTCCATGTCTGTGTGCCATTCATCAATTTAAGAGTTGACATCCCAAAGAAACATTATGATGGTTTTGCACCTTTCCAGTGTAAGTAAATATTGTATTAATACTTGCAAGAACAACATGACTGTTTCCAGTTGACTCATAGATTTGTTTAGCATCTTACACTGAGCTATGTGTGGATAATATGCACTTTGATTGATTACTAGCTTGCGTTGTTAGAAAGGATGGTAAAATACATGTAGTCCCAAGGTAATATTAATTTTATTTTTATTTGATATTAGATACACATCTAACATCAAATAAATACACATATTTATCCCTCCCTTTTAATTTTGTTTTATGTTCCATACATACAAGCTGTCTAAAATATGTGTTTCAACAAACCCTGGGCTCCTAATAAACACTGTTTCTTGTGGAAATATCTGGCTGGCATCAGCCAGTGTACCGTTATTTTGTAAATGTCATAGAACGATCTTGAGACATGATGTATCATCTTTGCAGCTCAATGCCTTGCTTTGTGGATTTTACAGATGGTGGCAACATCACCTTACTGTTCACCTTACTTTAGCTAATTAACGACCAGGTGAATCCTGAGTATAATTGCTGTATTCAACAAAATGGCTGTTATTTAAGAATGAAGGACCATGAAATGTACCACTTTCCAGAGTATAATATTACAGTGGGATACAGTAGGGCTACGTCTACACTGGCACCCTTTTCTGGAAATGCTTAAAACAGAACAGTTTTCCGTTATAAGTATTTCCGGAAAAAGCGCGTCTACATTGGCAGGATGCTTTTCCGGAAAAGCACTTTTTCCGGAAAAGCGTCAATGCCAATGTAGATGCACTTTTCTGGAAAAAAGCCCTGATCGTCATTTTCGCAATCAGGGCTTTTTTGCGGAAAAGACTACTGTGCTGTCTACATTGGCCCTTTTCTGGAACAGTTTTTCCGGAAAAGGACTTTTGCCCGAACGGGAGCAGCATAGTTTTTCCGGAAAAACACTGACAATTTTACAGTAGATCATCATTGCTTTTCTGGAAAAGCAAGCGGCCAGTGTAGACAGCTGGCAAGTTATTCCGGAAAAGTGGCTGCTTTTCCAGAATAAGTGGCCCAGTGTAGACACAGCCTAGGGCTGTGTCTACTCTGGCATGAATTTCCGGAAATGCTTAAAATGGAATACTATTCCGTTTTCAGTTTTTCCGGAAAAGGAGCGTCTACATTGGCAGGCTGCTTTTCCGGAAAAGCCCTTTTTCCAGAAAAGCGTCTGTGGCCAGTGTAGATGCGCTTTTCCGTAAAAGAGCCCCGATCGCCATTTTCGTGATCGGGGCTTTTTTCTGGAAAAGACTAGTGGGCTGTCTACATTGGCCCTTTTCCGGAACAGTGTTCCGGAATAAGGACTTATGCCCGAGCGGGAGCAGAATAGTTTTTCCGGAATAGCGACTGATTTTGTACAGTAGAGCATCATTGCTTTTCCGGAAATTCAAGGGCCAGTGTAGACAGCTCACAGCTTATTCCGGAAAAGCAGCTGATTTTCCAGAATAAGTGGCCCAGTGTAGACACAGCCTAGGTGTTTAGATGATTGGGCTTTTCTCCCTTCTGTAATTCTATATCGTCTAATATAAGAGTTTACTATTATGGGAGTCCCTAATGTGTACAAAACTTTAATCCAGCCCTGGGTGCAGGTTGGTGTGTGTGTGTTCGGGCTCTGAGGTGGGCCAGCGGGTATCAGTGCTTTGCTATTCTCAGGGACCACTCCCATAGCTCCCATTGGCCGCATATCGTAGCCAATGGGAGCTGCAAAGTCAGCATCTGCAGTGGGTGCTGTGTGCAAAGACGTCCCCTGCAGGACCACAGGTAGGTGCTGGCCACTTCAGGGAGTGGTGTGGAGGGAAGGGGGGCAGGGAACATGCCTTAAGTAGGTAGCACTGCTGATGCAGGTGGCAACAGCAGCTGAGGGGCCAGGGTCCCTTTTAATCCACCTGGACCCCTGGGTAGTTACTATTTGTACCCTCCACGTGTTGGCTGATCTGTTTCCCCTGGGACGCAGCCTGGAGAAGCACAGAGTGCGGAAGAGAAGCACTCAAGAGAAGCAGAGAGAAGTCAAGCAGGGCCTGTTGGCGTTTCTCAGACAATAAACAGACGCTACAGGCTCTGGTGGGCCTGGAGAAACAACAAAGTTCCATCCTTCCACTGCCTATCAGGTTGATATCAGAAATACACTCGCAAACCTCTCCACGTAAACCTCACGCATCAGAGCTCACGGCACCTCGACGTATTCTGACCAAAGACATTCCAGGTTGGCAGATGTATATATGGACTGCAATGTTTCTCCTTGAAAGCCTTGTTTTCCTTTAACATTTCAAACTCAAAAGATCAGAAGTCCGGACGCTATTTGGCTAAATATTCTCCTCTGATTTGTCAAGGAATTATTCATCGGGTTGAAAGGTTCTGACATTTCTACAAAAATTCAGGAATTTAAAATTTAGGGGGTAGTTTGGTAAGAAAAGTTTCGCTTCCAATTTTCCTGACAGCTATAGAAGAGATCGACGTCTTTCAAAGGGTGAAATTTGAACAAAAAACTTGAGAGTCACTGTGAGAAATTAAAGAAAATGTTTATCAATTTGCCTCATTCACAACACTTTGACTCATTCTGCTTTTCACTCTAATTGCTTGGCTACAAGGGTCCCACTGGAATCCCCACCTCCTTTTCTGCAGAACTGCTGCTTAGCCAGTCTGTCCTCAGCCTGCAACAATACTTGGGATTCTTCCACCCCAAGTGCAGGACTCTGCCCACCTACGTATCTACCTCTCCCCCTAGCTTAGTGTCATCTGCAAACTTGCTGAGGTTGCAATCCATCCCTTTATCCATGTCACTAATAAAGATGTTGAACAAAACCAGGCCTAGAACAGATCCTTGGGACACTCTGCTAGAAACCTCCCGCCAACCTGACATGGAGCTGTTGATCACTACCAGTTGGGTCTGACAGTCTAGCCAGCTTTCTATCCATCTTACCGTCCATTTATATAATCCATACTTCCTAAACTTGCTGGTAAGGATACTGTGGGAGACGGTATCAAAAGCTTTGCTAAAATCAAGGTACATCACATCCACCGACTTCCTCATGTGCACAGAGCCATTTACTCCATCATAGAAGCTAATCGGGTTGGCCAGACATGACCTGCCCTTTGTGAATCTATGTTCATTATTCCTGATCACTTTCCCCTCATCCAGGTGCCTCAAAGTGGATTCCTTGAAGATCCCCTCCATGATGTTTCTGGGAACTGAAGTAAGGTTGACTGAAGATGTAGTTCCGTGGTTTGGCCTTCTTCCCCTTTTTAAAGATGGGCACTACCATTGTCTTTTTCCATTTGTCTGGGATCTCTCCCGAACTCCACGAGTTTTCAAAGATAATTGCCAAAGGTTCTGCAATGACATTTGCCAACTCCCTTAATACCCTCAGATGCATTCAGTCCGGACCCATGGCTTTGAGTGTGGCTTTCTGTTCTAAATAGTTCTTAACCTGCTCCTTCTCTTCTCTAGTGTTTTGCTCAAGACTCCCTTCACCTCTTTGTTCCTCAGTGTGTATATCATGGGGTTCAACAGAGGTGACACTATTGTGTTCAACAGGGAAACTATTTGATCATTCTCCAGGGTGGGGCTAGAATTTGGCCACAGGTAAGTGATAAGGCTCGTTCCATAAAACAAATTCACCACCATGAGGTGGGAGGAGCAGGTGGAGAAGGCTTTACGCCTGCCCTCTGCTGACGGCAGCTTCAGGATGGTGGAGATAATATAGACATAGGACAGGATTATCATCAAGAAAGGGCCCATCATAAAAAATGCTATAATAAAGAACCCTAGAATACTAATGTTTGATGTGTCGGCGCAGATCATCTTCATCACCGGTGGGATGTCGCAGAAGAAGTGGTGGATGCGGTGGGAGCCACACAAGGGCAGGCTGAAAATCCATGTGGTCTGAGCTACCTCCAGCGAGACACCGATGAACCATGAAGCCCCCGCGAGCTGTGCGCACACCCGGCCACTCATGATGGTGGTATAGTGCAAAGGGTGGCAAATGGCCGCATAGCGGTCGTACGCCATGGCCGCGAGGAGGCAGCATTCGGTGAGGCCCATGATGGTATTGACGTACATCTGGGCTGCACAGCCCGCAATGGAGATGGTCTTTTCCTCCACCAGGAGGTGAACCAGCAGCTGAGGGACCGAACCAGAGGTGAAGCAGATTTCCAGAAAGGACAGATTCACCAAGAAGAAATACATGGGGGTGTGGAGGGAGCGGTGGAGCTTTACCAGGAGGATAACGAGCAGGTTCCCCAATAGAGTGGCCAGGTAGATGACCAGAAGCACCAGAAACAGAAGGATTTGCTGTTCACCGAGGTAGGAAAATCCCACCAGGATGAGCCCACTGGAGATGGTCTGGTTCTCGCCAGGGTCGCTGTCAGAATAGGTCATCTGTAGGGGTGAGAGGGGCTGAATCAGAGGAACATCAAACAGGTAGATTCTAGAATCCCAGGGCGGGCAGAGACCTCAGGAGTCAACGAGTCCAGCTCCCTGCCCAAAGCAGGACTAACCCCAACTCAACATCCCAGCCAGGGGTTGATCAAGGAGGGACACAAAAAACCTCTAGGGATGGAGATTCCACCACCTCCCTAGGGAAACCATCCCGCGCTTCCCCATCCTCCTAGGGAAATACTTTTCCTAATATCCAACCTAGACTTCCCCTAACACAACATGAGAACATTTCTCTTCATTCTGCCATCTGCCACCACTGAGAACAAACTCCAGCCTCTTTGGAACCCCTTTCAGGGAGCTGAAGGCTGCTACCAACTCCCCCCTCACTCTTCGCTTCTGCAGACTAAACAAACGCAACTCCCTCAGCCTCTCCTCGTAGATCACGTGCTCCAGCCCCCGAATTCTTTTGGTTCCCTCCGCTGGACCCTCTCCAATGCGTCCCCATCCTTTTTATGCAGGAGGGGCCCAGAACTGGGCACAACACTTGATATGTCACCTCTCTAGTGCCAAATAAAGGGGAATAATGACTTCCCAGATCTACTCACAATGCCCCTCTTAATTCATCCCAATATGCCATTCGCCTTCTTGGCTACAAGGGCGCCCTGTTGATTCATCTTCAGCTTCTCATCCGCTCTCATCCTCAGGGCATTTTTTGCCAAAGTGTAGCTCAGCTGTCAGCCTCCCACTGTGATGACACCACCGAACTTCACTTAATTTAAGCAGACCCCAGCTATGTATTTTACGTGGCTGGAGGTCTATACCTTAAGCCAAGCTGCAGGGTTTAATGTAGACCTGACCTTAGTCTCTCCACTTGAAATTTCAAAAAGGCATCTCTTCCTTTCTTCCTATTCCCATCCACCCTCTCCCTCCTTCCTTCTTTCCTTCCCGAAAGTTACTCTAAAACCACATTCACGAAACAGGATTTCTCAAATGCGGGCACATTCTGATCTCAGTTTGACGCCAAAATGTGCGTGAAACCATTTGAAGAGCAAGGAGCAGGATGAAAGTTGCCAACAATGTGGATTTTGGCCTTTTGAATTCAAGATATTATAAAAAC